TCTATCTTAAAACATACAGTTCCTTCTGTAGAACAATAGGATGAAAAGAAAGATTCAGCCAAGAAGCTTAGGTTCTAAGTCTGTATTTCCCAGTTCTTACCAGGATGAGTAAATCCTGCTTCATTTCAGAACTTCAGGTTTATTTTGGCTTAAATTTCAGTCCATGGTCAGCCAACTCCAGGGAAGAAATAGGATGGCAGATTGACATGGGGAGGAAAAGCTGCTCACATTACAGAAGTCAGGAGAGAGAGGGAGAAGGGAGGCAGATATGGCTTTTTAGGTCATACTTCCAGTGACTTGTTTTTTTCTGATCAGATCACCCCTCTTAACAGCAAGTTAGCTACAGTGCTTTCATGGTCTAATTGTGGCAAAGTTGAACCACTCAGAGCTATAGCCAAGTGTTACAGCTCAGTGTTACAGCTCTGGGTCAAGGCTATCCCAGTTCGGACTCATGGACTCAAGAATCTGTTGGTCACTCAAAGAGGTGGAGAAAAACCTTTATTACACCAGTGGGTCCAGAGTCTTACTCTGAAGTCTGAGCACTCTACCAGAAATGAGAGCCTCCTCACATACCAATCTACAGGGTAGGTGAGCATGCTCATTGAAGCAGAGGGGTGGAGTTGCAGAACTTTCCTGAAAGGTCATGAAGTTCAAACAGATAAATATTTTGATACATTGGCCAGAACTGCTCAACAGCACAAATTGTTACATTTCTGGAACAAAACATTCTGTGGAAAACAAACATGGAGGCAAGGCAAGGGCCTGTCTTATTGTTTTGTTTTTGTTTTTTTTGGGGGGGGTACCGGGGATTGAACTCGGGTCCTTGCGCTTGCAAGGAAGGCCACCGAACTGCTGAGCTAAATCCCTGGCCTGTGTCTTACTGTATAGTATTGCTCTATCACAATCACATTCCAAAAGTGCTACCTATAGGGCACATTTGGGAGACAGGTAGATATATAAACATGAAAGAGACCTGAATTTCTCATCTTTGAGGCTTATTGTTACTTTCCTCATTGCTGAGACCCTATATCCAACATCGTCAACATACATGACAGGTTTATTTTGGCTCACTGTTATAGTTCATGATCAGCTGGTTCCAGAGCAAGAATAGCATGGCAGAGGGGCATAGCAGAGGAAAACTATTCATCTTGGCAGTCAGGAAGCAGAGTAAAGGGAAGGAGAAATACCCTTCTTGGTCATGCCCCTCAGCCACCTCCCAACCAGGCCCCACCTCCTAACAGCAAGTCAGCTACAGTGCATGGTTTAATTCTCTTCTCAAACCTCTACTTATGAGTTCATAAGACCTTTGGGGGACTTTCTCAAAGCAGTAGTACCTCAGTTCATGAACATAACTTGTTCCACAATTCTGGTGAAGATGTGGAGTTTGCAAACAGAAGTAAAATTTCACTGAGTACCTCTGTTAGGGAACTGAATTATTTATGAAAAGAAGTGTTCATGAACCAAGGTATCACTGTATAAATCAGAACATTTCACCCCTACCTGCCCTAAATTCCAGCATGTTACCTCTTGTAAAATGCATTTAGTCCATCTCCAAGAGTTGCTAAAGTTCTAACAGTTTCAGCATCCCTGAAAGGTCAAAGTTTAAAGTCTCCTGACTCTATAGCCCTTAATCTTAGTTTCCTGCAAAGTTTTAGGATGTGAGAAAAATGTTCACAAGTTTTCTGCTAGAACATAACACACATGGCCTGGAATCCAACTGTCAATGGAGTTCTAGTTTCCAACTGAAACCTCCTGAGCCTGGTCTTTACTGTTTGTGCTGCTATCAGTATTCTGCTCTTCTAAGTTCTGACCAGGATCACCCATGAAGCTAAGCTTATAGCTTAGCCCTTCTAGGGCTTCTCTAGTTGGCATTGCCATATTTTTCCAAATTGCTCCTGTGAATAGATTCCAAAGGTTTATAAACCACAGGATCATGCAATGTCTTAGTAGCTTTGTTATGGCTGGGACAAAATACCTGACATCCACAAATTAAAGGAGGAGAGGTTTATTCTCATTCACAGTTTGCAGAGGTTTCAGTGCATAGTTGGCTGGCTCCGAGTCAGGGTGGCATGGGAGAGGGGTGTGAGTCCAGTGGGAAACAGAGCACAATCAAGGGGCCACATCCCCAGTAACCCTCCTCCTTCCACCAGGCTTTATCTCCCAATCATATTTATATATAATAATCCACTGATGAATATTACACCTCCATGATTCAGTTACCACCAAAGCACCACCTATGAACACGTGAGGCTTTGGGAGATCAACATCAAGATATAAACATTCCACCCAAGCCCCCAAAAGACTCACGTGTATCTCTTTATACAAAATGTATTTGGTCCATTTTTAAGAGTTGCAAAAGTCCCAACAGTTTCAGCATTGATGAAGTTTGTCCAAAGTCTCCTCTGAGACTTAAGGCAAACTCTTAGCTGTGAGCCCCTGTAAAAATAAAAAGAAAGTTAAGTACTTCCAACATACAATGGCAGAGAATAGACATTCCCATTCCAAAAGGGAGTAATAAAGGATATAAAGGAATAGGACCAAAGCAAGACTGAAATCCAGAAGGGCAATTAATTACAGGGCATTAAATCCTGTAGTTCCATGTACAGCACCCTGGGCAAGGTGTGGCGAGATGTATACTCCAAAAGGCTTGAGTGACCCCCCCACCCCAACCCCATGGCGTGGCTGGTGGGTTGTAGCCTCTTGGCTTCTCTCCTGGGCTGGCTTTGCTCACACCTTGTGGCTGTTCTCAGATGTTTTGTGTTCCTGGCTTCTTCAGCTTTCTGAGGTCGCCATTTCACTTTCAGCTTCACACACTGCCCTATCAGAGGTACACTGCCTGGCCTCCCAGGTTTTCTTCTGAAATCTGGGTGGAAGCCTTCCTGACCCCACAGCTCTTGCATTCTGATGCCTGTAAAACCAGCATTATGGGGATGATGCCAAAGTCTGTTGCCAGCCTAAGCAGTAACTCATCCCTTTCGCATCTTTTTGGTGGTTGTAGGGGCTTTTGAGTGGTTGGGTGGCAAAGCATGATGAATTGAATCCTGGGAAATCATTTATTTGAGATCTGATCAGAGTCTCCTAATAAGCACAGCTTTCAGCATTCTAGAGCTTCTCAAACAGGCATCTCTAAATCTTTCCAGATACCTCCTCTGAATGATTTCAAAGGCTTCTAAACCACATGTTTATGTATTCACAGCAACAGTTCCACTTTTGGTACCAAAGTATGTCTCAGTCACTTCCCTCATTACTCAGACACAATACCAGATACTTGTAATTTAAAGAAGAAGATGTTTTTTCTGGCTTATGGTTACAGTCCATGACCACTAGATCCAGACAGGCCAAGAACAGTGTGTCTGAAGATCATAGCAGAGTTAAGTTGCTCACTTTGTAATGACCAAAAACCAGAAAGTGAAGAGAGGAGTCAGTGAGAGAGCTATACCTTTCTAGGTCATTTTTACATTAACCTGCCTCCCTCAATCAGACCCCGCCTCCTAGGAGTAAGTCAGCTATAGTGCCCCATGATATAATTCTCTTCCTAAAGCCCTCCTATGAATGCATGAAGCTTTTGGAGGATATTCTCATTATAAATTATAACAGGGATATTGATTCAGAAGCACATGTCTCTCAGAATCAGAATAAGTCGCTCAGAGATATGGATAAAGTTTCTCTATGAATGGAAAGTTAAAGATCTTGTTTTAGGTTTTGAAATCTTGTGATTTTATGATTTCTTGGCAGTTATAAAAATGCATTTCCAAAATACCCTCCAGTTGAAAAGTATGCTCACAAATCTATGAGATGATAGTATCTTAGAATTCCTTGGCAAAGAAGCTGCCAAATGGTTTTAGCAGTGGGAAGGAGACTTACACTCAAGACAGGCAAAGGCCAGAACAAAGAGATAAGAGACAAATGCCATACTTGTGATTCTGCGGTGATCAAGAGCAATGCTGTGAACACAAGAGAGGTCTTTTGGTAGTGTCGGCCAAACTCCTTGTATTTGCATTATTTATATTCAAGCAAGGGTTTCTATCTTGTTTATTATCTGTTTCTCAAGCCCAAACACAAACCCCATAAAGTCAAGAACCATTTTTTTAAATTCTCAAACTATGTCCATTGGGGATTTTCAAATAGTAAATTACAGGGTGAAAATGTTTGTTGAACTCAATTATTAGTTGACTATCCAAAGTAAGGCACTTTACTCTGATCATGTCTGCCCAACTATATTGTGTCTTTGCAACTACAAAGAAAACTCAGTAAGAGCTGGGACAATGTCTGTTTTGTTCACTCTTGTATCCATATAGCTCATCACAGTACCATGACTTTACAAATTCAATAAATTTTAATCGGTAAATGATATGTGAAAATGTTTCAAGAATGTTTAAAGCACATACTTTGATCTTTAAAGGAATATAAGAAATGCCCATTTTTGAATCAGGTCTTTATATTTGGGGGGCATGAATTTTTTTAGTTCTTTATGTATATTCTAGATGATAGTCCTTTGTCTGAGGAGCAGCTGGTAAAAATTTTTTCCCAAAGTGAAATAAATAAGTCACACATGTGTAAATACCAAATAGTTTCTCTGGTGTGAAAAACTAAAAGTGTAAATAAGATCCAAATGGTATAACTGACAATGTGAAGTAGGGAGAAAAGGGCTAAAGCTGTAGGGGAAGTGGGAAGGGTAGGGGAAAGGAAGTAAGGGAAAAGAAAAAAATATGAGAAAATGAAAAAATGGAAACAAAGTTTATGTAAATAGAGAAGGGAGGAGAGGGTGAAGGGAGGGTAGGGGTTTGGGGAAAAAATGAGAACCAAGACCTGTCATGTAAAGGTACAAGATCCCAATGATGAATGTAACTGTACTGTATACCTAAAATGTACCAATGAGGATAAAAAAGGAGTATAAGAAAAATGTCAGACACAGTTTTAGGGATTAGATTTTTAAAAAGCAATGGAAGGACAGAAAAGAGCCCATTGGAACATGAATAATATTATCCTTCTCTTCCTAGACACTTTAGATGAGTCTATCAGAGGGTGAAATGGGAATCCGAATCTAGAGCAGTTCTTGACATCAGCTTCAGGGATGTCAGCCAATCCAGGTAAAAGTACATTTTCTATTTATCAAAAATCAAGGATGAAATCTTCTAAAGCATGAAGATTTTTCCTTTATTTTATAAAGTTTAAGTACATAATTTACATGAACCAAGCAAATTATGGGGTGTATTTCCCCTGCATAATTTAGAAAAACATGTTTTAGGCCCTTTGAACTATTGATAACCACCACTGTCCAAAAGAGAAATTTCAGCAGATAGAATTTCTACAGTAGTGTGTTAGCCATTCCTTATGATTAAAATAAGTCCTCAAGATTCAATTTATAAACCAAAAATTTCATAAAGATTTCTTTTAGGTCTGTTTTACTTAAAAAAGCAAGCAAATATGTACTTGAACATAAGAAGCCATTCTTTTGATAGGAAATGTTTTCTCCTTGTGCTTAGAATGTACTATAAGTTACTTTAGAATCTTCACCTTCCCAACTGTAAACATCTAAATCGAGTCATTTTATAGAAATCAAAAAAAGGAAAATGACAAATACTAAGCCTGTGAATATTTTCTGAGCATCACACTTCACTATGAAGACTCAGAAAATGTTTCTTCTGGACAACAATTTTAAAGAAAATAACAATAGTCCAAGGATATTGTGTAACTGATGTAAGGTACTAAAAAAAATAAACTGGTTTTCAAAATTTACCATATTCATTTAATGTACCTTAAGTCATGATTTTATTAATTTTTTGTTTTCAATAGAATAATTTAGAACTATCCTTTTATTCTGAAATACACTACACCCTTTTCTTTCTTTAACAAATGAAGACACTTGAATAAATATCTAGAAATGTTTTATGCATGTTTTCCTTCACATATTTTGAAGTAATTAAAATGATGGATATTTACTTCTAAAGTTTTGATTCTAATTTTATTCTGTAATTTTGTACAGACAATGTGACTTTTAAGATGACTTTGAAACTCTTAGACTATTTTGGTATTTTTAATACTCTTCAAATCCTCCTTTGAGACTTCTAATATAAAAAAACTGTTTTAGGTTAACAAAGCACTTAATTTATATGCTATTTTTTACATATAGGACAACAACAAAAAAACTCCACTCTTTCTAGCTGTCAGGGTGTGTTGTGCAAAATGCAAGTGAATTTTTCCATCATAGAGGTATTCAGCATGGCCTGGCAGAAAACTTGGCAGGCTTCCTTATGAGGGAATTTAACAATAGATTGAAAATGGAATATTTTATGATTCTCTGGCTCATCTTAGAACCAGCTTATGTTGTGAGAAAAATAACATAATTCATCTGAAAACCCCATACATCAGCAGAATTTCATTCCTTAGAGCAAATGTAGGACACAGTAAATTCCAAAAAGGCCTCCCAAGTGAAGTTTATTCATAAAACTTAAAAATAGAAATGAATCAACTGATGTATTTAACATTGAAATAAAAATGTTAATTTTTGCAGTAAGTTTTGCCCATAGGTTCATAATTTCTGTTGTATAACCACATGTCTTACTGGCAACTTATTATAAGAGGCATTTTTATGTTTTTAAATAATGTATATGAACTGCTATAAGCTATTATTTGTTCCAGAGATTTGTTTTTCTTTCAATTAAATCTCACAGAATCTAAATTGAAAAATCTGGTTCATATGTAGCTTTTATAAGATAAATGAAGGAAATAAGTCTCCTGAATTAGTAAACTTCTTTTTTTCTTTTAAATTAATTTTATTACTATATTTTAGGTATACAATATGATGACATTCATCATTGGAGATTTGTACTTTTACATAATATATCTTGTTTCTTATTTTCACCCATTCCTGAATTGTTAAACCTCTTAAACCTCTCATTCTTTGTAAAATGTACATATTCTCACACACAATCTCATGCATTTGTAATGAGGAATAATGAAGGCTTCACCTAACAATGTTTAGTTTTTAAAATAATGTATAAGAAACAAGGAATAAATATTAGTTATTATACTTTTAGCTTTAATTCTTCACTGAGATAAATATAAATCTACAGGTAACTATTTAATTATCCCCAAATTTCTATCCTGGACTTCTAATTGATGGCTGAACATGTCCACTTGAGTATTCTTCAGTGACTTCAGTCTTAGAGTGTCCAAAATTTAATCTATCTTCTTCTCCTGGCCATCTTATTACATTTACGTATCATTTTTCCACACGTTGTACTACTTCTGCTTTGTAGGAACTAAGATGAGTGCTAGAATTATATGAGACCTAGTGCTGGCAAAAGACAGGTTTGGATAACAGTAGAGACAAAAATGACAATATCTCTTGAAAAATGAAAGAAAATATTAAGTATTAAACACAAAAGGTGAAATACAATGAGGGCAAAAAATTCTGGTTGTTTGGTTTGGTTGTGACAAGAGAATTTTTGCACCAAAACAGAGATTTGGATGATGATCAGCTTTCAAGGAATTCATAGGCAACTATAAACAATATTAAGGTAGATGAGCCTTATGTAAGATTCTAGTCCCAAAATTATGTGATTCATTGATTTCCTGTCACACAGAAGAATACATTAAAACAAAAATAAATCATACTAGCTCATCTTTGACATGAAAGAATTCTAGACATAGATATCCTAGACTTCCTAGACATAGTTTGCTTTTGAGAAGAAAATGCGATAAGATCAAGAGGGTCTTCTGCCTCGGTGATGCTAAAAATTCCTAAATGCAGTAAGGTGAAGGCAAAAGGAGTAATCTCCTGTGATCAGCCCAACCTATTTAAGGCTTGCAGCTGTGTCTCTATTAAGAAATTACTATTTCCATGACCAGGATCGCAGAACAAGTTTGAAAAATTCAATGAGTCATGGGAAAATGGATTACTTAATAGGATTCAAATTAATGTTATTTTAAATTTGGAAGATGCATGAGTAAGCCTGTTCATTTATTTTGTCATTTGACTACCGTGTAAGTCAGAGATGGCTATTGCAATCCTCTTCATATTATTAAGAAAAAAAAAATAGTTTTAGAGAAGTAACTTGACCAAGATCTCAGAACTACTAAGTGACTGAAAAAGGGGCATTAAACTAGAATGCTTGAGTCGGTATCAATTTCAGGAAAAGTTCCACTTCCCTGTGATTTTGAAGAAGTGATCAGTAGGGCTCTCACTGCCAGCTTAGACTTTTACTTGGCTCTCTTTTCAGGCAGAAGTCTTCCAGGTCATATTTAGAGAAATTCACTCACTGGTATTCTACAGTGACCCATGCCCTCCAGTAGAGAATGAATTCTCAAGAATCCCTAAGTTTGCGGTGACATAATGAGTGGATCCAGTGAGAGAGGTACTCAGATATCTACCATGATGTACATGCTCTCTGTTTGAAGCTGCTTATTAATGTTTCCAGAGAAAAGATCTTTAGTAACCCAAGCACCAGAATGAGAATCCATGGTGCATCTTAACTACAGACTAGACTGTACTGAGGCCTTGATGATGATTGACATATTCCTAAAAAAGGCTATGCTGAAAAGCCAAATGTATTTTGTTGGACAAGAACTAGCGATCTCTGTTGATGCTCTGTCTCATGGGTCTTACTTAGCTAGATCATCAGCTGCATTGCCATCGGATGGCATAAGGTAACATTTGGACTTCTCACTATGGCAAGCAGTAAGAAGAAAGCTATATTGAATCAAAATTCTAACAAGACATTCTTTTTTTTTTTTTGGTACCGGAGATTGAACTTTAGCAGGAACTTTTAGAAAACTCCATTCTAGAGTGACTACTGACTTTGGACTCACAAGTTTTCCAGTTGTGTCCATGTGCATGTGGTACTAGAAAAGAGCCTATTATAGATCTGGATTCCACTTCCTTAATCTGTACCCTTATGCTAAGTGGGAATTTTGAAATCAATAACTCAGCTTACTGTTTTTCACTGACAGAGACATGAGTTACTATATCAAAAAAATTGAATTGTTGGGAAGAGCAATGACTGCTTTCCTTAAATATGATGGAGGGCTGATTAAAAATGAAACAGTGAGATTTCCTAGAATTTCTAGATGTTTTGTTGATGCATTTACTTTTATGTAATTTTATTTTGTGTCTGTGGAAATCTTATGACAGTTTTTCTTTTATGTTACACACGTAAAGAGTTTTACCAGGTAGACCAGAAGATAGGACGGGTGCATTACTGAGATCAGGAAGTGACACCTCACTTCAGACTTGTCTTAAGACACCATGATTTCTTGTTGAAAGAAGCCAAATTCAATTCAGGTCATGTAATTTAAAAGGCATGAAGTGAGCACATATGACATGCCAACAACAATATAGCAGAAGACGGACATTATTATAGACCTATTGCATATACTATGATTCATGCTAATCTAGGAGGAACAATATCAGACTAGAAGAAGTTCTTTAGAAAAGAGGCCATTAAGACTGAAAGTTCAGCACGGAATGGATGATATTGCAGGCTGATACTTTACACTTGCAGAGAGATGAGATATCTGCATCAAAGTCCTGACTCCTCAGAAGCAAGCAGTGTTCAATACTTTTTATCAGAAGAATAACTTTGTTAAGAACCCCATATTTGGGGAGGTGGCACAATGGGCAGAGGTGATAAGAACTCATAAACTGCCACATCTCTAGTGAAAGCTTCTTTAGCAAGGTCCTCGGTAGAAGGGTCTTTGTCTTCTTCAAAGTTAACAAGAAAGAGTTATGAGGTTGTTTTAATCGTGAATATATCTAGGGGCTTGACTGATCCTGAGTCTTCAGCAGTACCTCTTTGGATCCAAATCCCAAGCTGATGGCTCTGAAGGAAGAGTAACTCTGCTGGGAATCACAAGTCTGTGCATGGCCAATGTCATTTTCTCTTTAATACAATAATTTCTAGTACACATGGAAATAATCATTTGGATGAGTGTCTAATAAGTTTGTTTATGCTTTTATTAAGCTTTACTTCATTTAAATTGTTTGTTAAAGATGACAAGAACCCTAATACTGGATTGTACCATTTTTAAATAGAGTGACTCCATAAGAAATACCTGGAATGACTGGCAGATTTGGTAGACAGAGATAAAAGATGCTCCCTTCATCACTAATGGAACTAGTGATACACTGGGCTCAGAAGCTAAAGTTCATGTTTGTGTACTGCAAAAATATTAAAGATAGCCAGAATTTGTTCTGGGGTGTTCCGGAGAAAAGCATCATAATGTTCCTGAGAACTATAACTCTGGGACACCTTAATTTATAGCTAGACACACCACTTTCCACATGATTTTCTGTAGGATGCTTAACTGCTACGGTATAAGTCTACTTTCTTTTTATTCACTTGATCCTTGAGTATGTCTTAGAGACCCTGTTACACTTGGATATGCCACGGTAAGTTGGAAACTTTGCAATTGCCCTCACATGTCTTGATAAAGACTCTTCTTGATCAAACTTTAGCCTGGGTCCTCTGAGCCTTCTTTAATGAGGCCTTGGCCTTAGCCCCATTTTGTTTTTCAGCTGAGTCAATGAGGTTATAGCAAAAAATTCTAAGAAATCACCACTGCACCTTTTATATTTGATCATTGTTTATATTTGATCAAGCTCCCAATCTACCACCTGTGACACATAGGCCCTTTGCATGCCATTAGCAAGAACTCTATCAGGTCTGTTTAGCAAGAGTTTTGCTAGCCCAATGTGTTCTCTTATGGAATTTTCCATTCACCAACTCCTCCCCTTTCATACTGATTATAAATCTTCCCCTTCTTGTGCTGGGGTTTGAGATCAGTTTTTCTTCACTATGACAATATTGTCATAGTTTTTGCACAGTGTTGGTCTTATAATTTAAAAAATGTCAGAAAAAATGTTTTTTCAGTACTGGGGATTGAATCTAGAGATTAACACTGAGCCATATTCCCCCAGCCCTGTTTTTCACTTTTATGAAATTCTGAGACAGAGTCACACGGCCTTACTAAGCTGTCCAGGCTGACTCAGACTTGTCTTTGTAGGCATGCACCGCCACACCCAGCTGTGAGAGTAATTTTTAAACATCTCTGACATTTATGTTATATTTTTCTGATTCTGGTGTCTGTAGTCTCCCACTTTTTTGTATTCTCCTTTCTGGAATATGTAAAACTAAGTAATGTATAATATTTTCTTAGCCTAGATGAGAATAATGCATTATTTTTTATTTTCTTGATTACCGTTCCAAGTGGCCCTTTATTCTTCTAGAATGTGGCTATGAGCAGATCTAGATACCCCCTATTAAAAAAACCAATCTAGAAAATTCCACTCCACCCTCCAAAAAGAGTCAGATGCACATATATCTTGCTTAGGCCTACTTTATTCTAGAAGGAGACCAACACAATGGGACAAGATTAGGCAACTGGGCATAGTTCAATAGGAAGTGACGTCTATTTCTCATGATAGTTGCACTAAGAGGTATTTTGAAATCAGCTGACAGATTCGACACCTTTCCCACTGTGCACCTTTAAAGTATTCATCAGTTGCCCTGTGGAGAAAAATATCAACAGCCGAGAAACACTGAGCTCATAGCTTTTCGTTAGCAGCCAATCTTTACCAGTGAACTCTAAAAATATACTCAAGGTTCCCACTTACTGATATTTTAAAAGAGAATAACTTCAATTTAAAAATAATTTCATAACTAGTGCTGAATACCTAAGGGTGATGCTCAAAATGTTACACTTAGTTTACACCCTTGGAAACAATTCACATAGATTGTTCAATTGAAAGGAACTCACTCAGAAACCCATTTTCATAAAGTTGTCATTTTTATATTTAAAAAAGGAGCCTAAAGTATTTGCTACCCGTTAGATGATTATTTTCATTTCATAGGCAGTTTGAAAATCCTTAAAAAAAAACCTATATGTTTCTGTACCTTCTATATTACTCATTACTTCATTGTTTTGGAGCCAATGCTAACGTATATTGAAGATGACTTTTTTGTAAACTTTAAATTATTTTTGGCTATTTTGTTTTAAACTATGGTGTTTGTTATAGCTGCAAATATGTTTTGTTGAAATACTATACTCTGAAATAGAAAAAGTTATTCAGATTTTTCAGATATTTTCCTTTTTTTGGCACCAATTATTAGGGAATGCCAGCATTTCTAAGCCTAGTTATAGAAACTGAATAATAAATATGGCCTATGCTAACAGAAGTGGAATATAATTCTTAGGAAGGGGGAAATACCATACCCCAGAAATGATCAAGCATGTACTGAGAGAAACTTTGTAATAGCGTTCTATAAGGAGTTTAAGCAACAGATTGCCAAGGAGAAGGTGAGCTAAGTGTTCTTAAATTTCCCTTCAACTGGGAGATTCTAGGATTTTCTGATTCACTCTTCCTGCCGAGAATATGCAGGGATTCAATGACACCAGCGTCTCTCAAATGATATACATGAAAGGCTTCTATTTTGTAGTGTCAGTGTGAGATTCACGTATTCCTCATGCCCTGAGTCATTTCTCCAGTAGAGGGCCTTTTGTCTCTACACATAATTTTGCCCTCAATGTAACAACGAAAGCGTTTCAATACTTACTTAACTTCAGAGCAAAAAGAGCATTTATGGGAGTATATTTTGCCACTGTGATCCACAAATGGTGTCATATATCTGAGGACATAATATCTGTTTTCATAGTGGTAGCTTTTTATAACCACTGCTATCAATCTAGAATAAAGGCACATTAAAATCTACAAGTATGTCAATCAAATTTGTACCCCAGGATTTACAATTGTTCTTTCTCCTCTCTCTCTCTCTCTCTCTCTCTCTCTCTCTGGCTGTCTGTCTCTCTCTCTCTCTCTTTTTCTTTCTTTTTACCAGGAATCAAACTCAGGACCTTGCACTTGTGAGGCAGGTGCAGTACCACTGAGCTAAATCCCCAGCAAATTTATAATTTTTTAAGTTCACCGTGTTTTTAATATATTTCTCACAATCCAGTTGTCAGTCCTTATCAAATGCTTTTATATACACAAAATATAAGGATTTTTGTGTTAGATTAAAAATCACGAGTGACAAACATTTTACAGTAGTTGGTTATCATATCATAATTCATTTAAAATCAAATTTTTACATTATAGTGGTTGGTGCATCAGTTATCAGCACATAGGGATTTTTTACTAAATTCAACCATTCTCATGTGATAACAAAGAAGTCTGATACATTTTCTGCATGAATTACACTGCTATTTCTCTCTTTCTTTGAAAATGTCCAATATAAATACAACTGTGAAAATATTATAGGGTGATTACTACAATTTTAAGGACTTGATGCCTTTTACTCTTGATTATCAGTAACAAGCTCTCTGATATACACCTCCATAGCATGAAGACAGACAAATGTATTTTAACATTCTATGGGAAGCCAGTACTTTACATTGCTGCAGCAAGATCAAAGTGATGAACTGACCGGACAGCTGGTAGGAGATTCCCAAGAGGGGACTGTGTTATCTACGAGCTCATTAGAGAGTGTGAAAAGTAAGCACACACATTTTAATTCAGTTCCTAACTTCGTGACCCTGGGGCAGGTATTAAACTTCTTCAAGTCTTAATGTTTACCATCTCTCTCTCTCTCTCTCTCTCTCTTTTTTGGGGGGCTCCGGGGATCGAACTCAGGCCCTATGTATTTACAAGGCAGGCGGCAGTACCACTGAGCTAAATCCCTGGCCCAAGCCTTAATGTTTACTTGCAAAATAAAGGTAATAATAACTTCATTATAAGGCTGGAGTAAAAAATACAGGATGAGATATGGGTAAAATGCTTATCACTGCATGGCATGAAAAACACTAAATAAATAATTGTTGTTTTTCTCTTGGCTTCATGTCCAGGTCCAAGTAAATGCCAGTTTTATAGAAAATACTTTGTAACTCTAGCTTATTCTGTCCCCAACTTCCAAGCAGAATATTTCACTGTTGACTATCTCTGTTTGCATACCTCGAGATACATTCACACTCAAATTCATCTAGTTCTTCAGATATGTTCCCCTTGTTAATCGTTTCATTCATCAATTTCGATTCCTCGGATGTCCTAAGCTTTAGGGATAAGCTGAGTGATGCTCAGGCCAAGATTTGTAAGTGTGACACAAAGGGGCATCTCAGAGGCTAGCGCAGCAGATGTGAGACACCAGTGCCCTGTGTAAGTTTGTGCAAGTCGCATTGCATTTCTTCTTGTTCGCCCAAATTGCACAGCCAAGGTTTCTGTGCTACTTGCAATTACTACTAAGTCTTTTTTTTTTTCAGCTTTAATTGAGTTTATTGGTACATTTTAGGGATACAGTACAGTTACATTCATTGTTGGGATCTTGTACCTCTACATGACAAGTCTTGATTCTCATTTTTTTCCCCTTACCTCTGCCCTCCCTTCACCCCCTCCTCCCTTTCCCATCTACAAACACTTTATTTTCATCCTCTCACATTTTTTTCTTTTCCCTTTTTACTCTTCCCCTACCCATCCCACCTTCCCTACACCTTTAGCTCCTTCCTTCCCATTTATAAATGTCAGTAATCTTATTAGAATCTTATGCATTGTTGCAGATTATTCACACCAGGGAAACTATTCGGTATTTACACATGTGTGACTTATTTATTTCACTTAGGAGTATATCTTCAATATGTATCCATTTTCCTATGAATGAATCTATTTTCTCATTCTTTATGGCTGAGTAATATTCCATTTTATAGAAAAACCACGTCTTCTTTATCCAGTTTCCAACGGATGGGCAAATGGGCTGTTTCCAAGATTTAGCTATTCCAAACTGTGCCACTACTAATTCTTAACTTTCCTTAACCCTTAGTCTTTGCTCACAGTTATTAGATTGTGAAGGATGGCTTAAATCTGGGCTTGTCTGACTCCAAAATTTATATCTTAACTATACTTTTAGTAAGTAGAAGACATAAAGTAGTGAAGTATGAGTGTCTTCAGTTGGACCATTGTGGCTAGCTCATTAATCCTAATTCAATTCAAAACATTTTCCTTTCATGGTTATTTTGACTTTGGGGAAGAGCCAGAAGTCACATGGTGCTAGATCTGGTAAGCGGATGAGAACACACTGTCATGCTGATAAAGCCTGTGTTTTTATCGGACAGTACCAAGCAGCAGTATTCACCACATTTTTGATCATGCGTCATAAAACATTCATCTGAAGGCTTCCAGAAGTATTCAGAAAGTGGCAATAAGGATGAGATCAATGTGTTTGAAACAAGGGTATGTATCTTGGGAGGTAATAACAGCAACATGTCTCTTACTTTAATACATTTTTAAAAATTTAAACATTCATTGTATATTTCACTCAGGCCCCAGATCACAGAGGTAATAATAAAACGATGATTACTACTCACCATGTCTGAATGCTGGTTTAAAAGTTTTAGTACTACGCTTCGTTTTTCTTATTAATAAGAGTCATTTCCCTGATCCAAGCCATAAAGAAAAGTTAAAAAAAAATTATTTTCTTAGAGAAGTGTTCATGATCCATTTGATAATGATGAGAATCATGACTTATCTTTATTGATACTTTCCATGCCGTAGGCACTGTTCCAAGCCTTTTTCGAATATTATGGCTTTAAGTCCTGGAACAATCTTACAGTGCTGTTCCCCAGGGCCACATGAAAAAAGAAGCAGAGTTCAATCTAGGATGTTATTCGCATACAAATTACTCACAGCTTTGTTTTATCATCTCAATTTTAGAGACTGTGTCTAAAGTTTGAGAAATGAAACCAATTTTGGGACTCGAAAAGCAAAGCTTCAAACGCAGACATTTAGTGAATACATAATGTTAAATCTTTTGTCGCTATTCTAACTTTTTAAATTACATGTAAGTAGCACTTTTCTATCAAGATAGATGCACTGACTTGCTCATTTTTTAGTGTGGCACATTCTATAGAAACAGAGCATAGACAAGATGATATTAAATGAAACTCTGGAAGAAGCTACTCTTAGAGAAATAATTATTTTTATTTTCTCAGCTTGTGATAACAATATGTATCTCTCAAAACACTTTATCCAATAGCAACTTGAGGAAGAGAAGAAGGAGGAAGGCAGATTCCTGAGACTTAGTAAAGTTCTGAAGGGTGAAGTGGAGTCCATGGAGAGATTGAGGTGAGGAACCTCAAGGTAAAAGGAGGAAGCAAATGATACTTGCTCCCTGACTAGAAAGGAGGCTGGAGCCTACAAAGATGCAGTGTGACAGGGGACCCTGCAGGCCGCCAGGGAGAAATGCCCTCACTGGAGGGGAGCAGGGGGTGCTGTGCTGCAGTAGATGGTGAGTGACTCCATTCCAGACATCGCCAGGAGAAGGTGACTGACTGGATGCCATTTTGTAGTGGGACCAGTGGAACCTAGGGCTCAGAGCAGCCGTGGGTTGGCTCCATCTAAAGGTTACCAGTGTCTGGGTGAGGCCCAGGCCTGGGAGAGTTCCGTGGTCAGGGAGCCGAGATCAAGCTGGCAAGAAACACCCACATTGTTGTGGGATGAATAACTTGGGTTGCAGGTCCAAATCCAGAGACCAAGACCAGCCTGAACTTCTTCGGCTGAACCTGCACTCCACCGCATTCCTACCGCAGGCTTGTGAGGATCATCAGCACCCTGCCCTAATACTATTGCAGGCTTGCTGGGGTCATGCAATATAGATCTGGGCTCTGCCTGCTTCTTTCACCTACCAGAGACAGGAGAGACATTCCCTGAAGCAGACACTACCAAAAACCGCAGAAGACAGCCACAGGCTTGAAGGCACAGAGAAGTCTCTCTCAATCTCTTTCTCTGCTTGTATTTTTGTTTTTGGTTGTTTGGTCCTGTTTTTTCAAATATGTGAACTTTTTTTTTTTTAGTTTTTTCAGTTTTGTTTAGTTCTTGATTTGTTTCTTCTTTCTTTGTTTCCCTCCTGTCTTCTTCACCAGTCTTCTTCCTTTGTTCTTCAACCTTGCTTCTAATTTCTTTCTCTTCTGTTTCCCTTTCTTTTCCTTCTGTTCCTTTAAAGTTTTCTCACCAGAAGGTAAAAGTCACTCAGTGGAGGGGATATTTAATGACTATAAATTTCTGGCTTGTTTTATATTTTGTTAGGTACCTATAAAGTATGTGGAATTTTTCTTAACCTTTATCTTCCAATTTTTCTTTCTAAAGCAATGGCTTCTCAAAAGCACAAAACACTTGGGAAACTTGGTAAAAATACAAAGGCCCAAGTTCATCTTATTTTAATGAGTATTTTAATAGTCTATGTTAATTTTCTAGGTGATTCTAAAACACATCTGAGACTCTTTCCCACTGCACGTTCTACTCCTGCAAACCTTCAACAACTGACTTTAAGTTGGTGCAGAAAGGAAAAAGCAGGGCATGGAGTCACTGAGGAAGTGGCACGGGAAGGCAGCCTCTGTGACAGCTAGGTTGTTTTACCTGTACATGAAGAATTCTAACTTGGATTAAAAAAAAACACACACACACACAAAATGACAATGTATATTGTTTGTGACTGTTGTCTTGAGCTTCTTCCCCTTTCATAACGACTCAGCTTCCTCCTCTCAGTTGAGCCAAACCTGTCTTCCAGGTTCCTTTCAGCATCCTGGTGAGAACCTAAGTTTTCTCCTCCTATGTTCCTGAAACTAGCACCTCCTCGACTCCTCCATCTTCTGTGGCCTCACAGTTTATTCTCCATTTGTTCTTTATTTATTACGTCCATCATTCAGTCTCTTTTGTGATTCTTATTCACCTTAGTGACTCCCTCATTTCATCTGCTTTTATACCCTCGGTTTCCTCAGTTGTGTTATGGAGACCTGGAGTAGACCTTCACCTATAGGAAGGCTGGAATTCCTGGTACTTGTCCTTTCCCAGGATCCTTTCATCTAAATTGTTTCCCTACTGTCTTCATATAGGCAGATGTCCTTCTTCTCTGATGTCCTTAACACATCCTTTCCTGCCTTTTATAAATGTTATCTGTGTTTGTAGAGCTGACTTTGAAAACACTGGTGCACCTTCGCTAGCTCTGGTGATTAAACTCTCTTCAGTTGCTCCATGCTTGTCAGCTGGCCTCTGACAAGATTTGCATCCCTCCCTCAACATACAGGTCATTTTCCCCTCAGCGACTCTTTAGCCCTCAGTTGTTCGCTGATCCCAGATGTCCCTATATATGGAGCAATAGCCATCTCTGGAATTTCTCAAACTTTTTCCTACGATGTCCATTCCAAGATTTCCATTCTCTTCATTTCTTCAACTTTTCTAATTTCTTCTTGCGTGTCCCTTCAGCTATCATCACCTGACCTTGCCAACCCTCTCAAGTTCTGATGGTCCCCAGTGATTTTTGGAACCTGTTCTGCTGCTGATATCTTCCTAGAGCATCAGCTTCTATTGCTTATTGGCCTAGGTAGTCTCTATTTCTTTAATTCTTTCAAACTTTTAGCTGATTTTAATCTTCAGCCCCTTAGACCCTTATAATTATTCTAGATTTTCCCACTTACTACGTGCACAATCCACATTTGATCCTCTCCTCTCTTTCCTGAGTTCAACTTCCCTGTTGTTTGCTTCTTATTCACTTTGTTTTCCTCCAGTTGATGTTAGTTACCCACCTACTCATTTCCTAAAACTGCTCCCATATTTCACACTATGCCCATCTGATAATAATCCCTGCTGGGAATTAGCCAACCACAGATTGTTGGCACCGTCCTCTGCCAAGCTGCCTATACTCACAACAACCGCAAGTTCAGGAGTTCCTCTGACTTCCTTCAGGTTCCATCATTTTTTAGAAGGCATCACAGAACTCTGTGAAAACTATTACAAATATGGTTAGAATTGATTATGGAAAAAGATACAGGTTAAAATCATCTCAAGAAAAAGACACAGGGAATGGACAGGGCAAAGCTTACTTTATCCTCCTCCTCCTGTGGAACCGGGACACATTGCTTCTGATGTGGCATCAGTGTATACAGTACACATGGAGCACTGCCAACCAGGAAAGTTAGGTAAGTTATTGTGTCAGAGTTTTTATTAGGGCTTCATTACAGAAGCGTGATTGATTACTCAGTGTTGAACTCCGTCTCCAGATCATCTGATACCTAGTGACCTAAAGCTCCCACCTGCCTCACATCTTTCTGGTAAGGTTTATCCACACTCAAGTTTGGCCAGCTCCCGTCTTCTTAAGTCATCTGCTTGTTCCTCAACCCAGTCCAACCAGTCTTCAAAATGCCCTCGGTATCAATCTCACATACTTTTCCAGTGAAATGGTATGCCATTTTCTTGGTACGCAGTGGATGAAATGTGGTCATGCCTTGTAGAACTAAGGGCACTGGAGTGTTTACCCCAAAGAAGAAGGAAAATATGTCTTCTATATAGATATGGTTATTCTCTCTCATGCCATTGGCAAGGATCAGGAAGCCGGCTTCTGGGTAGAGATGTACAGAATAGCTCTCTCACACCTTGATGGCAAGGGTCCAACTGGGACCTTGAGGTTGAAGGACCTTGTCACCTTTGAACAATACAGATTATGTCACATTTTTCATCACCATCTTCTGTCCTGTGTTCCATATATGTATGTATATATATATATTTTTTTTTTCATTCTATGTCACTATAAATATGCTGAAAATAGAAACAGTCTGGAGTATATACACATCCTTCCCACCACCAAACACTTACAGAGTTGTGTTTTTTGCTGACAGATTCATTAAACAAACACTTTCCTCCTCTGTACCTTCCTCCCATCTGTTCATGGTCCCTGAAATATTAGAGGTGCTCATTAGATTCTACTGATCAGATGAATTCATAAAATCTTATAGTTAAATGCCACCCTATCTCAAAGACTCACTCTAGCTCAGAGAAATAATTGCATAAACAAAATATTACATTATACATTCATATAAAGATTTGCCCTTAGGAGGTATATAGTCTAAACCTGATTTTTTTTAAAAGGAAGTAGAAAAGTATGAAAATAATGATAATTAAATAGTTATAAAGAAATTTTTACTAAACTGCTGAAATTCAAAAGGTCTTATTTGATTGAAAAAGTCAGGAAAAAGAGAAAAAGACATGCAGTTTTCACTGGCTTCAAGGATAGCTAATATATTTTTTCAGTTATATTGAAGGACCTCCAGCCACCATATACAATATAAAAATAAAGGAAATAAAACTGTAGGATATTTTGAAATGTCAGTGAGCAATTCTTTTGAAAAACAGGAATGTATTATCAGGGTAGTAAACTACACTGACTGAAATGATAGATATGGTTGAATTTGAAGAGAACTCTGTACTTTACTAAAGAAAAAGAAAGCCAATGACATTTTTTTCTTTTTTTCCCCTCATTGAGTTTATTGGTACATTTTAGGTGTACAGTACAGTTACATTCATGACATTTTTAAGGAGGAGTCTGGGTCAGATCTGTGTTTTAGACTGGATATGGTAGATCTAGAAGAGAAAAAAGGTTTAGATTTAGCACAGGGTTTTTTTTTTTGTCATTTTGTTTGGTTTTTTAAACTATTCTGTGGAATAAGACAATGAGAGATTGGGGTCACAACTGAAGAAGGAAAATTTTCTGAGGGTCATAGTGCTCTTTTGGGTACATTGTGGGTGCAGAGGGCTGGTTCCAAGTGAGAGAAGTCCTGAAGAGAGAAGTCTGCTTTGCATATCTGAGGGTGTATGTTCGGGATAGCTGAGGGGAAGAGGACCCCTGCTTGTTTGCTTCACACGGTGTCTCAAAGGGCTGACAGAGGGTGGTCCTGGGAATAGAGGCCATATCACCAATGGGACAACACGAGGCCAGTATTGAGGCCTAGAGCTCAAAACTTCGAAAAACCTTGGCAAGGTCAGGGAGGCATGCGGTTTTTCTGTAAGGAAATGCCAGGTACTTGAAGAAAAGTGTTAGTATGTATGTGGTGAGGAAGATAGATTGAGCTGTTACCCCCACATCAGGTTGAAGCCCTAACCCTTCATGTGACTATATCCTGAGGTATGGTCATGAAGGAAGTGATTACAGTTAAATGAGGTCGTACCAGTGGGGTGCAAGAGCAGTAGGGCTGGTGTCCTTATGAGAAGATCAGCCCCCAGGTGCATGTGCACTGAGCAAAAAACAGGTGGGAACACAGCAAGGAGGATGCTGGGACAGTTTTAATAGCCTGGAT